GAGCAGGGAGCCCGATGCGGGACTCGATCCAGGGACTCCAGGATCATGACCTGAGCTGAAGGCTGTCGCCCAACCAACTGAGCCACCCAGGCGCCCCAGTGGAGCTCATTTTTACTTCTCAGATGCAATCCATTCGCACCAGCGTCCTCCTGTGTCCAAGGAGGAGAGGCACATGCAGCCTAGTCCCCAGGCCGGAAAAGCGAGTTTGGAAGCTGCCTTCAGGCGGCTCTGACTCGGCGGAGGGTGCTTCTGGGCTCCGCGCCCAGTGGTCTCCTGCCTTCCTCCTGCTCCCGCCTCCCATGGGGCCTCGGGGGGCCCCCAATTCCCAGCTCAGGAGGGGGCAGGGGTTCTCCCTGCAGTGGCCACATCTGTCTCTACTTTGATCTCCTCGCTGATGTTCCACTCATGCTGATTTTTCTCTGGTCCTGAAAAGGCCGATTGCAAGCGCTATTCTCTCTACCAGGAAAGGTGTCTGTGCAGCGGGCTCCTATAATCATTCACCTTTGAGGATTCAGCTCAGATGTCACCTCTTAACCCGATCACATCACCCATGGCTGCCCATGCACGCCCGCTGCGGAAACACACTCGTTTCTTCTTCACAGGATGCATCGACTCAGAATCCTGGGGCTTTAAGGGCCTTATAGGATCGGTCCCGGTGGGTGATAAGCTTGGCGCAGCCACCAACCTCCATGGCTCCCTGCCACCCTGTCATCCACTTAGACAGGGGCCGCACTTTCAGCCAGGTGTCTCAAGTCTCACTCAGGTTCCTGGACTTCTTGCTGCAGCTCTGGTCCCGCCTTGGAACCCCCCCGCCACCTCCTCATGTGTCCTGTTTCAAGGGCCCTAAGCAGACCTATGAATCTCATTTTGAGACCTCAGGGCCTGGGATGGGCTGCCAACCCATGGGAGGAAGGGTTCACCTTTTAGACTCCCCTGCTCTGGCCTCCTAACCCAAGTCTACAAGTCTGGGGCCTGAAGTCTAGGACACATGATTTCCACAGGATGCGGCCCCACCCTGAGAAGTGGGGGAGGGTCTGGAGCAGTGCACCAACATTGCTGTCCCGTCACCGCAGATCTGGTGCACCCCAGACTGTGCATCACTGTCTGGCAGGGACAGGGGAGATCTCTGCTACTTCAGCCTGCTGCCACACCAGGGTCGATGCAGGGAACAGGAGCTGGACTGAAGGCACCTTAGTTCCTTCTGTCTTGGACTATAGAGGATGGCATAATGGATAAGGCTGCAGGACAGACAGGCTGACGAGGTGGGAGAGGCAATTCCCCAGCCTTACCCTGTACATGTAGGGATCTTTCAAGTGAGGTGTTCCAGGAGTGGACTTTGGATATATTGGGGAACCTAGATGTGTATGGATGGTCTTTGGTTCTAAGATGCAGGCTTCTTGGGATGTGGCTCATAGGATATTATCTAGGGTAGGCAGAGTCCATGGGTTTGTCTGAGGGTTATATAGGGTTTTACTGGGATGGGTCAACGAAGGAATTGCTTCATTTCCTGAGCTGTGTGAATGATAGAGAGCATTCACTGAGTGAGGTGGCCTCTTAGTGGAGGGTGAGGCCCTGGAGATCATTCGAGGTTAGAGAATTTCATGGGTACCTGGCTCACTGGGACTTCTAGGGTCTCTACGCAAGGTGTGGAAATTGTAAGGTCCTTTGATATAACATTGAGGTATCTTGCATGGCGTATGGATGAGGCAAGGGGGCAGAAGACCAATTATCAGGTTTTCAAAGTGGGGAGCATGCTGGGAATAGCCCTCAGGACAGACATGTGGCCACAAGAGTGCAAGTGCAAGTACAGTCAGAAGCACAGGGAGACAGGGCCCCCACTGTTTGCCCCGGGAGCAGAGCACACCTACTTGGGGGTAAAGTCCTGCAATTTAGAGCAAGAGGACAGCCCCTTGGCTGCTCCCTGGGCATTAGCAATCCACAGGACCCCCTCGCCACCAGCCACTGAGGGGCCTGAGCATTCCCGAGCAAGACGTCGGAGTCCCTGCCCAGCCTGCCCATCCCTGATCAGACCTACAGAAAGACTCATTCACAAGACACTGGAGGGAGGGATAAGACAGTTTAATTTAGAAATAAGCTTTGGACAGCCTCCTGATCAGAAGGGAGCTTAAGGGCCCACCCTGGGGGAGAAAGGCCATCATGGAGGGTAAGGCCCCCAGGTGGGGAGAGAACAGCATGGGAGCTGGTACCAAGAATGCCACGAAGCTGGTCCTGTGCTCAGCAGGTACTGGCAGAGCCTGAAGAGAGAATGGGAGTCAGGTCCTCACAGACATGGTCACTACAAAGGCAACCCCCTCAGCCTCCAGAAACCCCAAGGGTGGGCTGGCTTACGACAGCATTACACAAGGCATTTAATAATGCTCAAATACTATGGCCACCCTGCCTGAGGGCCTGGAAGCCCCTCAAAGAAGCCCGTCTTACCTGGAGTGATGAGTGGAATGGCCTTCTCAGGTAAGGGGCTAAGAAAGAAACACATCAAATTAGCATCCCCAGACCTTCTGTTCTGTATCCCCCAGGAGGACGCCTGGTGCTCCCTCCCCAGGGGGCACACTTGCTTGCTATTCTTCCCCTGTCACTTTAAACAATACCAAGGGTTATAGCTTTCTATTATCAGTGAATAACAAACCCCACTGCAAGCCCAGGGAGCAGCCAAGGGGCTGTCCTCTTGCTCTAAATTGCAGGACTTTACCCCCAAGTAGGTGTGCTCTGCTCCCGGGGCAAACAGTGGGGGCCCTGTCTCACCTGTGCTTCTGACTGTACTTGCACTTGCATTTTCCACCTGTGGGAGGAAGAGCTGGTCAGTGCAAAGAACCTGGGGCGCCTGGGCCACCCCACCGCCTCCCCCCGGGCCCGGCCTGCGAGCCCCACCACTCACTCAGGGCTATCAGGATTCCAGCGATGCACAGGAGCCCTCCAAAAATCATCCCGCCCAGCTGCAGGCTTTCCCAGTCTGGGGGAGCAGAGAGTAAGCGGGCACCAGCCCGGCTCTGCCCCACTCATTCACTCAAAAGATATTTATGATCACCTGCTTGTGCAGATGCACTTACAGTTCAGGCAACAAGAAAGACAAGCCAGTAAATAGATACGCGGTACAATAGCTGGTGGGAACAGCACTAGGAAGAAAAAATAAGCAGAAGAGCACAGAAAAAGAAGGGAGTTGGAAGGCTTTTTGATCAAGGAAGGCTTTTCTGAAAGGTGGCATTTGCGCTGAGGCTGGGGGGAGAGGGGGGTGTGTAGGGACACTGGAGGACAGTGCCAGGCAGAGGAGGAGAAAAGCTGCTGGGGACTGTCGAGCAACAAGGAGCGGGTGCTGGGGAAGGCAAGTGAGAGAGTGGAAGGAAGATTAGGTGAGATACCTGGGGGCCCAACGGCCTCCAGCCCCTTCCCCAGAAATCTTCCTAAATATCCTGTGGGTATCTTCCCTCCTTGCTGGCTTGAAGTTCTCCCAAGACCATGTTGCATATTGGCCTCTTGCTCTTTTCATAGACCATGCCGACTCTGTAATCCCCAGTCCCAGCCCCATCCTGCCCCTCTTTTCTCATTAGCCCTCACCAAGCTCTAGCAAAGCAGTCCAGGATAGGCAAAGGTAGGGGGTGGGGGATGAGGGAGATCAGCTCTTACCATAGTAGAAGGGACTGTCTTTATCTGCAGGAAGTGGGGGGGGGAAAAATAAGAACCAGAACCAGGAGGCAGGATGTGGGGTCTTAGAGGGAAAATGTGGGGCAGCAGGAGCAGGGCAGTCTGGGGCCTCACTCACCAACCAGGTCGTTGGCTTCCAAGGCAGGCAGGCCTGGGTGGGAAAAGCAGAGGGATCGGGTATCAACGGGTATTAATTCATGACACTGGTCTCATAATGAATCAGGAGGTATGTCCTCAGCCCAGACCAGCCTCCTGGGTGGGCAGGTTGGCGGGGGGACCCTCACACCTTCCCCAGCCCCAAATAGCCCTGGGATTTTGTCTCTCACCCCATAGCCTTTGCCACTCCCCCTCAGCCCTTCCTGCCATTTTTCAGGCTTCCTGCTAGTCTTTCTTGCATTTGAAATGGAATGGTGTGTTGGTATCTTTTTACCCTCTTCTGAGAAGCTTCCTACACAGATCCTGGCTAATGCCCTGACAGGGAATAGGGAATGCTTCTCTCTTTATGCCAACAGATGGTTACTGTTTTCGAACGTTCAATTATTTAGGACAACTTTTGCAATATCCACTTCCTCCCTGTACTATTATCTCCTTAGTGTCACTCTTTAAATTGACAGTTTAAATGAATATACATTTGTTCAACATCAGGCCCCCTTTGGGAGATGCTGCCCTGGTTTTTGCTGCCTTGGGGGGAGGGTGAGTGGCAGCAGGTTCACTTCTGGGAGGACTCACCTGCCAGTGTGAGGAGAAGGGCCCGGGTCACTCTCTTCATGATACAGCTGCAGAGCAGGGCTGCAGGGGAAGGGGGCGGGCTGGGGTCAGCCAGCCAGGACCTGCCCGAGGTTCACAGTGCCTGGGGCAAAGAGCCAGGGCACAAATCCCAAGGGTGCACTTGGTTTATGAGGTGGTCTTGGGAAAGTTACTGATTTCTGTTTCCTCATCTAGAGATGATAATAGCAAATGCCTAGTGGAGTTACATGGATTGAGTTAATATTAGTTAAGTACTTCGAACAATGCTCACACCTAGTAAGTGATTTGTTGAAGTCTTTGTTCAAGTCTTTAATCAGAAGCCTGACCATTGGTCAGAGGAGCACGGCTACTGTTCTAACTCAGGCTTTGGTTCCTTAACCCCACTCAAAAGGCTAAGAGGCACCCTGAGCTATTGTTCCCAAAGGTCTGGGCCTCGGGCGATATCAGGATGAATTCCAAGATAGTCTCTGCAAAGGGCGAGCACACCCAGGGCTGAGCAGCTGAGGAGGGGAAAGGTGGTAGTGAAAGCATGTGAGGGCCTCCCACCCCAGCCTCAACCAGGGATCCTGCTCCAAGGCAGCCCCAAATCCCACAGCAGGAAACTGCCTGGTGGGCGGAAGGAACATTGCTCCTTTCTTTCTCCTCAGGGTGGGAACTATCCGGGTCCCTAAGAACTAGTTCCTATAGGGTGGCTGTTTCCTTGAGATAAGACCCCTGCCAGCTTTCTGCATGTTGTTAGCTGCAGGCAAGCTTAGGGACTGTCAGCTCTTGCAAACTGAAGTCCCGTCCCCCCCCCCCCCCCCGTTATTATCTGCTGGGCCCAGCTGGCTGGAACTCTAATCCCCTCAAAACCACCTAACAGCTGTGTGACTCAGTGGGTTACTTCACCTCTCAGTGCTTCAGTGTCCTGTAAAACGAGGACAATTAATATCAATGGCATAAGGTTATGATTGAATTAAATGAATTACTACATGTGAAGCCTAAGAATAATGCCTAGCACATAGTAAGTAATGAAATGTGTTACAATAAATAAATACAGGGGCTCCTGGGTGGCTCAGTCATTGAGCGTCTGCCTTCGGCTCAGGTCATGATCTCAGGGTCCTGGGATTGAGCCCCGCGTCGGGCTCCCTGCTTGGCGGGAAGCCTGCTTCTCCCTCTCCCACTTCCCCTGCTTGTGTTCCCTCTCTCGCTGTGTCTCTGTCAAATAAATAAATAAAATCTTAAAAAAAA